CCTTCCTTCCTTCCTTCCTTCCTTCCTTCCTTCCTTCCTTCCTTCCTTCCTTCCTTCCTTCCTTCCTTCCTTCCTTCCTTCCTCCCTCCCTCCCTCCCTCCATCCCTCCATCTCTCTCTCTTTCTCTCTCTCTCTCTCTTTTTCATACTTGCCCTTTCAGCTACTTTCCCCTTGTCTGATAACTAAAGCTCCAGCCCCAAGGTGCCTGTGTTGGCTTTTTCACATCAAAACCATTTTGCTTCCTCACAGCTGCCCTCTAAGAAAGGATCGCTCTCTGAGATGCTGCCATATGATTTTCCAGACAGAAGACTGAGCCCTATTAATCCCGAGGAGGAGGAAAGCAGCACCACATGAAGGAGCAGGGCTCCTGATTTCCAGCACCAGCAACACATCCTCATAGCTGGATCTGGTGGGGTTGATACATGTCCTGGTTTGAGCCAGGATGAAGCCAATGAACACCTTGCTCGTGTCTGGGGGTGCCCTGTCCCAAGCCATTGCCAGCATCTGAGTGAAGTGGAGCCACAGAGATGGGATAAAGCACATCCATGTGGGAGCAGACTCACCCCATCCAAACCCTGCCTGTGTTTTCCCCATGAGTCCCAAGCACAGACTATGCTCTGCCCAAACCACTTCTGTACAAAGCTCTGCTGCTCCCCATCAGCTAACGAGCACAAACACATCCCAAGAAACTGCAGCCTGCACAACCCAGCGGAGAAGGAGACCGTGGTCAGACAGAGCCAGCACGGGGGGACCCGGGCGGCACAGCTGGTGGGACAGTGACCCCAACCCTACCTGGAGGAGAAAGTCAAAGAGGGCCAGCCGGCTCCACTCGCCGGGCAGGATGCTGGAGCAGGGAGCGTCCCCGGCCGCTGGCCTGGGCCCGCGGGACTGCAGCATCTCCTGGTACTGCACCCACCCCAGGGCGCAGGAGTTCTGGTCGTTGTTGGCATCCTGCAGGTGCTGCAGGTCAGGCTCCCACCAGACGACGGGCCGCGGGGAGCCGTCGGTGTAGCTGTAGGGCAGGAGGC